CTTATCAGAGCGTCACATTACTTAGGAGATCGTGATATTTTTGGAAAAGTAAACAAAAATGACGGCGCTTTGCTCGCCGATTTAAAGCGCGGCATTCGCCGTTAGTGTGAACGGTGTATTAGTATGATTAGGAAATTCTAAATCTTATATCTTATTATTACAAATTCCGATACTCTGAAGCAATAAATACACATAGCTATACAAGTATCGGGGGCTCAATACGACATTTGTAGAAACATATCAGAAACCCATCTATGCGGGAAATCTTTATGAACGCAAACGACATTAAGTTGTAAGTTTCGAGTTTCTTATTGCAGTTGATGGTAGGGAGCACTATTCCTGATTTTGAAACTCATGGTGGAAATACATATACTGTTGATATGCAATGTAAACAAACCACAGGTGTTGATGGAAGCAGTGTATCAGTTGATGTAACTTTCACTAATGAAGTTGAATGTGAGTACTGAATTACTGAATCATGTTGTACAATGTTTTATTTCAATTCAATGTAATTTTTACATCATTTTTGGTTACTGAATCAATGTTGGTTTAAATAAATTTTCTATAGTGTGTACTATGTCGTGGTCAGGCGGACCATTTTCTGTGGCAGAGAATACAGCTACTGGAACTGAGATAATCGCAGCATCATCACTGACATCAACCTTCCCTGAAACAGCTGATACTCCGGCATTCAGTATTACTTCAGTTAGTCCAGGTGCAACCACGCTGTTTGACATTGATCCAAGCACAGGAGCGGTATGTGTAAACTTAATGCTTAATGGTTACTTTCTAATCTATCAAGCTAATCCACTTTTATTTTAACAAATGAATACTGTTTAGTTTTTTAATTGCTCATAAATCTAATACTGCGCTGTGTTCCCATAAGTATTAACCCAATAATCTGAATATTCACACCGATTAATTATTATGCTGAATTATTAGACAAGACTGTATTCACAGAGCTAGAATGTCTCATGACATGTCATATATGATGTTATATTATATTTATAATGTATGCAATTACAACTGTTATTCATTTTGAAATTTAACGTGATTCAAATCAGTTTATTTCAGTATTTAATGTATTTTGTATTAGTAGCGGGGTTAATACACAAGTGTAAGTATATCGATCTTAATATATATTTTATGTTTAGTCTGCATCTGTTGTTTGAATACCGTGCAAGTGTTTTTTTCTGTGAAATATCTTTATTACTAATGTTTATTTTCTCGACTTTTTCATTACAGAAAGGCGCAAGATATGCCACTCAATAATATAATTGTATAATTTCAACTGTTTCTATATTACATCATATTAATTATTTATTTGTTTAACGTGTCAGCAATCTTACTTTATTACAATCTTTTTTGCACATGAACACAAATGTTGACATACTATCTAATCTTGGAATATAGAAAAGGCTCGTATAATATTTCCTCAAAGTAACATTGCATGCCATTATATTAAATTGTATTAGAACTAATGTGTGTTAACATTTCTCGTAGATAGCATTTCTATTCTCATTTTTTGATGTTATTATTTTTTTTGTTTATATTAAAGCTAAGTGTTGGATCAACACCACCGGATTTTGAGAGTGAGGCTTCCCTGCAGACAGTAACTGTGACTTGTCACCAAATGTCGGGCGAGGACAACACAGCAACTGTGACAGTCACTATTCTTGATGTCGTTGAAGGTATGACTAATAGAGTGTTCTTTAAGTGTGCATTCCAAATAACTGCCTAGTAGTTATACCTTATCTGAAAATGTATAAATTATCTTGTGTTTTAGTATGTTGTATTATCTCATATACATAAATGCTACCTAAAGCGAGAAGATCAGTTCCAGCGCAAGCGCGGGATTAGAGTACCAAGCGATGATAACACACGCCAAAAAATGCACAGGATCATGGGCAGACGATGGTTTGTAAAGATTGACACGCCATGGTCATCCTGCACATGCGCAGGTGACGACTCCCCCGCTTCAATTCTACCATAATGTTAATATTTTGACGATATAATAATATTGTTTAACCTGATGAGCATTAATATTATACTATTTTTTAGATTGTACAATCGCATGGTCTTCGCCGCAATATGCAATATCAGAAAATTCCGTCACAACTACAGTTATTATAGATACAACTGATTTCACGCCTGATTTTCCGGAGACTGCCGCAGCTGTTACAGTATACAGTATTGCTGGAGTCAGTCCTGGTCCCACTAACTTGTTTACCATTGATCAATCCACTGGAGCAGTAAGTACAGTCGCAGGAGTGTTACAAAGTATTGTGCCTAATAATTTCATGTATGGCAAATTACCTTACCATCTGCTGAATCCATGCATGTGTTCTCCCTTTAGATTTCTATTGACTCTGAGATTCCTGACTATGAGTTTCATACTACAACTCAAACTGTAACAGTGACGTGTTACCAGGCTTCTGGAAATAATAATGATCAAACTATTGATATTGTTATAGAAAATGTCGACGAACGTAAGTACAATACACTACCATACATTATGGCGACAAAATCTTGTCGTTTCATATGACGAAAGATTCGTGTGTTGTCACTAGATTTGGGTATGATACGTACATACTCGTATATTTGTTCATGTAGTGAGGTAAGATGTAGACTTATGTATATATGTTGTGGCAGTAAGGTGTAATTAGGTGTGTATCTGAGTAGTAGGGTTTTTTATTTGGACGATGTGCTCAAACGACTAGCTATACATTGCGGTTGGCACCAGAACGCACATAATTGTATATATAAATCATTTCCCAATTAATGGCGCCATTAGTGTTCCGGTGTTGCGATATAAAAAAACGTGATATGGTTGTAAACTATATGATGAACCCACACACGGAGCATATATCATCTGTGTAAATATAGATATTTACGATGTTTACATTCTTACAGAGCAATTTTATTTTATTTGTTTGTAGCATGCACGCTGTCATTTGCTAATGCCCCATACTCTATAGACGAAAATTCAGCTACTGGGACAACTATCACGCCATTTTCAGATATCACATCGGATTTCCCAGAAGGAGAAGCCACTCCTTCATTTATAATAGTTGGGGTTTCAGCACCCGGACCATCAACTTTATTTGATATAGATGGGACTACTGGGGTGGTAGGACATTTTTGTTTTGTTTTGTTGTTTCAAGTTTCTAATTAAAGCTTCAAAACATGTAATATTGATTGAATGGATTCACTGTTGTCATTCTACGTGTTTGGTGTTTATATATGTGAAATATGTATTGTATTATACAGATCCAAATTGGAAGTACAGTGCCAGATTACGAAACACATGGTGGCAATACATATTCTGTTGAGATACAATGTAAACAAACATCAGGCGTTGACGCCAGTGTAACTATTGACATCACATTTGATGATGTCATTGAATGTAAGTAAATAACCATTTATGAATTAATGTCTCGTAGTTGTTACATGTTTGAGGGTGTTTGTCTTAATAAATAAATTCTGTGTTGAATAAATTTCCAGTGTGCACTGTTGGATGGACAGGAACACCATACACCGTTTTGGAAAACACAAACACTGGTGAAATTATAATAGATTCTTCCGAATTAGTAACGTCATTCCCTGAAGGTGCAGCAACACCTGCTTTCAGTATTTCTGTCAGTCCTGGAGCTGCCACACTTTTTTCAATCGATGGCACAACGGGAGCAGTAAGTATTCTTTGCATTACATTATCAGAAAACATGCTATAACGATTTGGTTGGACACATCCAGGGGTCTACCATGGAATGTACTAGTATACTGCAGTTTATTTTGTATGCCCGATGTGTGCACATGACAAATTTAATAAACATGTTTTAAAATGTGTATGTTACAGTTAATGGTTGGAACCACGCCACCTGACTACGAAGCAGACAACACAATACAGACAGTTACAGTTTCATGTCTACAGGATTCGTCACAAGATAACACAAACGATGTTACTGTCACCATAGTGAACGTTCTTGAAGGTGCGTGTCATTATTTGAATACTATTAGACTAATACATGTGTTCATTATGCTATTATTCAACTTTGTGTAACATTGAACTTGTTCAACTGATTGGCATGTACGTGACATGTAAGTGAATCTTACTTTTCCTAGCATGTTCGATACAGTGGGTGAATGCGCCGTATAGTATAGATGAAAATTCAAACACAGCTGTCAATGTAGTGCCGGCTGCTGATGTCATGGGAGACTTTCCGGAAGGTGCCTCAAGTCCGAGTTATGGTATAAGCAGTGTTGACCCAGGTCCTGCGGAACTATTCAGCATTGATGCCACTTCTGGTGCTGTAGGTATTTTTTT